CGGTTTTTGGCCGATTTTAGATGCGACTCAAATTTATTAAATTCGGACTCAGATTGAGCTTTCAAAAGTAAATTGCAACTGAGCAAGCCAAAAGATATCAAATGAAATGGACACTTGATTAAAGATGAACAAACAAATTGATAAAAACGTCAAAAGTGTCCATCTCTAAATTTTGAAAAGTGCCCATTTCTAAATTTTGAAAAGCCATTTTTGCGAAATGTAACCAAATTTTTTATATAATATTAAAACATTCAAATTTGCTGTGCAGTGTAAACCCGTATTGTTGACTTGAAAAGTCACTATAATAAAATAAAGAGATCTAAAATGGATATTTCTAACATTTATTTAAAACGAAAGTGTTTTGAAATATTTGCATTTAAGGCGGAGTTAAAATTGGTTGATTTAGAAATTAACAAAGGAATTAATGATGAATGTTGTGGGTACTTCATGGGAGTGATGTAGATCTTCATGTTGGTGAAGCAGATCAACAGGATCTTGAACAACAGGACTTATCCAACCTTGTAGGCAGAGATCGCGGCTTGTCATGCTGGCTATGAGCGATTATGTTGTCTCTGGAATGCATGATGAACTGGGAACCCTTCGGGTAAGAGCGTCTGCTGCTATCTGAGTATCTGCGTCATCATCATAAAGGAGTCAAGAGGCTCCCTGTGTTGGAGCTGTTACCGGCTCTACTCTCTAAACCTGACTGAATACCGGGAGGGAGCTGGGGTGAGCGGGGATTCGACATGTGGGCACTACATGAGGAGGAAATGGATCTTGAGTACACAAACATCTAGAGAAAAGGCTACGGCAATTTGAGTCGGAAAAATCGTCTTCCTTATATTTCGAATTAATTTTAACACGTATATATGTAGATGAGTTACATAATATTTTGATTTAAGATCTGATTAATTGAAATAAAGGTACAAAGAAATGCTTTTCAAGTTGGTTTAATTACCCAATTTGCCTATTTTAACATCCCTTACTCATAGCAGTCGTTGCAAAATAGTTTAAGTAAAATTTAAGAGTATAAAACATTTTAGAAGAATATTATACAACAGTATTGACAATACTAACTACCTAGAATATACATCTGTACATTGAATGAATTTTAATGTTTTTAACAATTTACATGAAACCAGTCGTTCTATATTATATATTTAACCAACTATAAATATCTGAAAATAGAAATGCAGAAAAACTCATGAAACCTGCAGTCGTTCTATATTATATTTAACTAACCTATGTCTGAAAATAGAAATGCAGAAAAACTCATGAAACCTGCAGTCGTTCTATATTATATTTAACTAACCTATGTCTGAAAATAGAAATGCAGAAAAACAATGATCAACCATTCATTTTATAATTTTATTTTCAAACATACCATACGCATAAGAAACTGTTTTTCCAAAAAGGAATGGAGTATTTGGAACAATATCAAATATTTAAACCTCAATATCTTTAGAACTCGATGTTGTAAACCTTTGATATTTAAAAACTCAGATTACTTGATCTAACAGAATTCATTGTTTAAAATATCTAAGGTCTGCAACATTTGGTTACAAAGATTTTGTGATTAGAAAATCAGAGTTTGTGGCAAAAACAAAATTCCTTTGTTGCAGACTGCAGTATTGCTTATCCATTAAGAAACATTAAAATGGTTAGAGAAGGTGAGACACAAGCATATTAGTTTCTTGAAATTATTTTATTCAAGTGAAGTAAAACAGTTTAAGTGTTCATTGTAAATTGAACTATTTAAAGTCATAAATTGAGTCTAAAAGTCATAAATTGAGTCTAAAAGTCATAAATTGAACTATTTAAAGTCATAAATTGAACTATTTAAAGTCATAAATTGAGTCTAAAAGTCATCTTCCTATTCCCCAGCTTAATAAATCTAAATAAGTCTAAAAAATAGAATAAATAACATTGTCAAATTTTAATAAAATTACCATCATTCTAATTCTTTTGTATGGAACACACACTTAATTTGTACAGTAGTGGAATATGTTTTCTAGCAAAAACAAAGTTTTCCGAGAACACCCACTAAGGAGTTAAATTAACCTAAATGTTAACAATGTATGCGCAGAGCAATATTTTTCCTGTTATTTGCTGAATTGAGAAAAAGAATTTCAGATGTAAGATATTTTGACTTTTATCAAAAACCTGTTTAATGTTGAACACATATTTTCTCGTAAATGAGATCGAAAAATAACTAAAATTCGCAAACATTTCTGGTAACCTTTATTTGGCACTTTAGTAAAATTTTTTTGTAGTCTCTAAAGACAGGGCACTTAGATCACTTTTCTTTAAATTTCCATCAGAAACGTATTCAGGGGGGGGGTATGGGGGCTAAACCCCTTTGGACAAGTGAAAACTATTGATTTCAGGGGGTTTTCAGGCCCCAACAGGTGCTAAGCCCCCCCCTTGGACAAATTCCTGAATACGCCCCTGATTTCCATGTTTTGAATTTTAAGGAATGAATTTGCACCATTTTCTCTGAAATACTATTCATATAATGTAATATATGCAAGCAGAAATAGTGTTTATTGCTTAATCATTATTATACAGCCAATCTCACATACATATATGAATACATAGCAAGAGCGCATGAAATGTCGTCTTGAAATTTATTTTGAAAAGTATGACATCTGTAATTCTTCATCTTTGGTGCTGAGATGTTCGCAGCATCAAAGGGTAAATTAATAGCCATAAGAAATGAAGGGCAGCAATTGATATATTTAACTCGTTTTTCCGCGGCATTTGATCTTAAATATGTTGAGAATACGACTTATAAAAAATTCTAGCTATGTATTCATATACCTGGGATTCTCTGTACTAATTGGTTACACACAATGGATGAAAACTGAAAGACTTTAATATCAAAACTTTTCTTTTTCTTTCATTTGATCCAGTGAACATGTATGTGATTTTATTTAATAAGGAATACCAAGTTTAACCAAATTGTAACGTCGAATCTAAAGTCCATACTTGTAAGGGAAACCCTGTATCTTTAAAGTTGTAAGGGCAGCATTATAAATCTGGCGTGGCATTATTGAAATTGAGGGTGACTTGAAATATATTAACGGTTTATAATACAAAGAAGGTTTCCGTCTACCACCTATTTCCACGTATGATTGTTCTAAAAGGTGGATTGATGTACACTGGACGTGAACATTTAGACTTCAGTTGGAGATTTCAGTTCAAGGCGTTAACTCAGCCCTGACTAATCTTAAGCTGAGTTCCTTCTCTGCAACTAGTAGTTACAGGGTGATCCGATACTGGTGGTCACAGGGTTATCCGATACTAGTGGTTACAGGGTGATCCTACACTAGTAGTTACAGGGTGATCCTATGCTAGTGGTTACAGGGTGATCCTACATTAGTAGTTACAGGGTGATCCTATTCTAGTAATTATAGGGTGGTCCTATATACAGTAGTTATGTCAAAACGGCTGAAACTATCGGTTCCAATTGTCGGTCGAAATAAAGAGGAAGGAGTAATTTGTTTTTTATCTTAAATTTCTTTTGTTGGAAATTAGCTTAAGAAAAAAAAAATAAAGTTAAAAAACGTTTATAAGGAAAATGAGAAAAATCTTTAATTTAATTATTTATTTTTATTTGAACCTTATGTAATATTTTACTAACTGTAAAATCTGCACGAAATTTCATCTTTATGCAACCATAGAAATTTACACAATCAATGCATAAAATATTGAGTTCATGTGCATTCATTCATAACAATTAATGATAGGATGGTTGGAGCAGTAGGAAGGGGGGGGGGGTTATATCCATGGATTTGTTAGAGAAACTTAAATTACAAATTATGCCAATACGGTTAAAATATAAAAGACAACCTCTAGTTTTAAATTTTTTTTTTTTAAATTTCTTTTACGTTTCTATGAGTGATAAATATAAAAAAATCTTGCTACACTTTTGCACTTTCAAAACGTGCGCCGTAGCAATTTACCACAATTCACCACATAGTAATGGAGTATCTACTTCACTTATGTGACATGTTCTGTTGATTTTAGTTTTCTTAAATACACTTCCCGCATTCCAGGGTCCATGGGGTTTATTGCACTTAAATATTTCTTTGAAATAAAAATGTCAGATAACTGTTGAGCAAGTTAGTACATGATTGAAGAGTTGAGTAAGGTAGTTACATGATTGAAGTGTTGAGTAAGGTAGTACATGATTGAAGTATTGAGTAAGGTAGTACATGATTGAAGTGTTGAGCAAGGTAGTACATGATTGAAGTGTTGAGTAAGGTAGTACATGATTGAAGTGTTGAGCAAGGCAGTACATCATTGGAGTGTTTAGCAAGGTAGTACATGATTGAAGTATTGAGCAAGGTAGTACATGATTGAAGTGTTGAGCAAGGTAGTACATAATTGAAGTGTTGATTAAGGAAGTACATGATTGAAGGGTTTAGTATGGAAGTACATGATTGAAGTGTTGAGCAAGGCAGTACATCATTGGAGTGTTGAGCAAGGTAGTACATCATTGAAGTGTTGAGCAATGTAGTACATGATTTAAGTGTTGAGCAAGGTAGTACATGATTGAAGTGTTGAGCAAGGTAGTACATCATTGAAGTGTTGAGCAAGATAGTACATGATTGAAATGTTGAGCAAGGTAGTACATCATTGAAGTGTTGAGCAATGTAGTACATGATTGAATTGTTGAGCAAGGTAGTACATGATTGAAGTGTTGAGCAAGGTAGTACATGATTGAAGTATTAAGCAAGGTAGTACATGATTGAAGTGTTGAGTAAGGTAGTACATGATTAAAGTGTTGAGTAAGGTAGTACATGATTAAAGAGTTGAGTAAGGTAGTACATGATTGAAGAGTTGGGCAAGGTAGTACATGATTGAAGTGTTGAGCAAGGTAGTACATGATTAAAGAGTTGAGCAAGGTAGTACATGATTGAAGTGTTGAGTAAGGTAGTACATGATTAAAGTGTTGAGTAAGGTAGTTTATAATTTAATCCTAAACCTAATTTCAGAAGTAGACACGGAGCATTCTGAATTCAAGATATCCCGGGACGAACCCCAGTATAGCCTGAATTCAGGTTTAGAAAAATCTCTAGAATTTCTAACAAATGACGTATTTAATATTCTGGAAACCCCCGATCCATATTTATAAGTACACTGTGACCACTGTCAAGGATCAAGCGTGGAAAAAATCTAGATTTATCCGGAAATAGAACAATAGTTCTAAAGAGAAAACAAACTCTAAAATATAATTCCAAATAAGTTAAGGTGTTCACATGGGGTGATAAAAAACAAGTACAAATCTTATTTGATAATTGATAAAGAATGTGTCAAAAAGGGTGGTACATCTTTCCAGAGGGAACAAAGTGAAAAATTAATTCATTTGTATCAAAGTCTTTGATTTATATAATTTATTTAATGGGCCACCATTTGAATTTTTGGTTCTTTTATCATACCTACAATATTTAAGGTACTATAAGATTAATTTCAAATGACCCTATATGCATAGATGGCAATGCCAAATTCACAACAGTACTCTTGAAGAAAAAAACATTGCCTTTACGTTTTCAACATTATAAACATGGATTTCTAATTTACACTTGACCAGAAAAACTTTTACACGGGTTCCATTGTGATCATACATTGTCATATGTGCATGGAGGGTCACTTGAAATTACACTTGCAGTCACTACAAGGAATCTTATTATATTTCTATACCTTTAAACCTTTAAGTTTGATCTTATTATACGAATAAATTTGTTTAACATCACAAAATAAACTAAGAATTATTCTCAACAAGTTAAAACAAATAGTTTTTGTTGGCTTTATGTATAATTTTCAAGAATCTAAGAAATGAAAGTCATGGAGCATGATTTTTTATAAAATTTGAAGTGAATCTGAAAATCTGAGAATTATTCGAGATCAATCTCAGACCTGGATGGATTCAGCTCAGGTTTGCACCATTTGGTCTTTTGCACATCAAATATGTTATATTAGACAAATATGTTTTACCAAACAACAAATATGTTTTCTCAGACAACAAATATGTCATTACCAGTACTAAATATATTGTTCCATACAAGAATTATGTTTTAACAAGCAACAAATATGGTTTACCCAGCAGCAAATATGTTTTACCCAGCAACAAATATGTTTTACCCAGCAGCAAATATGGTTTACCCAGCAACAACTATGTTGTTTACCCAGCAGCAAATATGGTTTACCCAGCAACAACTATGTTGTTTACCCAGCAGCAAATATGGTTTACCCAGCAACAATTATGTTTTACCCAGCAACAAATATGTTTTACCCAGCAGAAAATATGTTTTACCCAACAACAAATATGTTTTACCCAGCAATAAATATGTTTTACCCAGCAGCAAATATGTTTTACCTAGGAACAAATATGTTTTACCCAGGAACAAATATGTTTTACCCAGCAGAAAATATGTTTTACCCAGGAACAAATATGTTTTACCCAGCAACAAATATGGTTTACCCAGCAACAAATATGTTTTACCCAGCAGCAAATATGTTTTACCCAGGAACAAATATGTTTTACCCAGCAGCAAATATGGTTTACCCAGCAACAACTATATTTTATTGTCATTTAAATTTTCATCAATTTCCCTAGAATTTAGAGTTTTGCAGAAAAATATAAATAATTTCAAAGTTTTGTTTTTAATTGCAGTAGACCAAGTTTTGAATGTATAGAGTGAGGTTCAGGTTAACAATGCTCCTCCAGGTGGTAATCCTACTCCTCTCCAACCTATCTAACACCCTGGCACAGTTCGGAGATGGGAATGCAAATGAGTTTGTGGATTCAGTAAGTATTAAAAGATTCTTGATTGATGGTAAATAAAAAAATACAATACACATTTAATATTTGTATCCCTGAAACCGACAATGTTTTAGATGCTTCGGGATGTTATGAAGTCAGGAGAAAATGAGATAGAGTTGGAAGATGAGAAGTTTGTTCTAGTTGTAGATCTACTTTTCTTTAAACCTCAGCTACACCTAGAGGTATAGTTCTAGTAGATCTACTTTTCTTTAAACCTCAACTACACCTGGAGGTATAGTTGTAGTAGATCTACTTTACTTTAAACCTCAGCTACACCTAGAGGTATAGTTGTAGTAGAGCTACTTTTCTTTAAACCTTAGCTACACCTAGAGGTATAGTTCTAGTAGATCTACTTTTCTTTAAACCTCAGCTACACCTAGAGGTATAGTTGTAGTAGAGCTACTTTTCTTTAAACCTTAGCTACACCTAGAGGTATAGTTCTAGTAGATCTACTTTTCTTTAAACCTCAGCTACACCTAGAGGTATAGTTGTAGTAGAGCTACTTTTCTTTAAACCTTAGCTACACCTAGAGGTATAGTTCTAGTAGATCTACTTTTCTTTAAACCTCAGCTACACCTAGAGGTATAGTTGTAGTAGAGCTACTTTTCTTTAAACCTTAGCTACACCTAGAGGTATAGTTGTAGTAGATCTACTTTTCTTTAAACCTCAGCTACACCTAGAGGTATAGTTGTAATAGATCTACTTTTTTTTAAAACCTTACCTACACCTAGAGGTATAGTTCTAATGGATCTACTTTTCTTTAAACCTCAACTACACCTGGAGGTATAGTTCTAGTGGATCTACTTTTCTTTAAACCTCAGATACAACCTAGAGGTATAGATCTAGTAGATCTGCTTTTCTTTAATCCTCAGATACAACCTAGATGTATAGGTGTTATAGTAATAGACGGGGTTTTTTTTAATTTTTAAATCCACTAACCAATCTGTTAAGATCCGGAATGGAGTGTTTAAAGGCTTGAATTCTTTATCAAGATCCAGCGATGCTATTGTTACATATGACGAGTCAGCGGTGAGTTCTTATTTTCCATGATTTTCATAAATAGTTTTTACTGTTTAGCAATTTTTTTGTAACCATGATTAAGACCAATGAAGTGAGCGTGCAGAAGAGGTTTTCAATGACAATTGGTTTGAAAGCATTTTGTTAGTTCTCTTTAACGAACCATTAAACTAAATGATGCGAGATTTATTGTTTTTACTACATTAATAAAAGCGAGTTTGGTAAGAAAAACTTTTGGGGTGTCCGTAGACTGGACCTAGTTACTTCTTTCTCTCTTAGATTGAAAAGTTGGAATTTATTTCATATAGATAAATATTTTCATTACATGTTGTACTGCACTGTTCTGTACTGTAGAGTAGACTTGTGTTTATTAGACTGTATTGTACTGCAGGGTAGACCTGTGTTTACTAAACTGTATTTTACTGCAGGTTAGACCTGTGTTTACTAAACTGTATTGTACTGCAGGGTATACTTGTGTTTACTAAACTGTACTGTACTGCAGGGTAGACCTGTGTTTACTAAACTGTATTGTACTACAGGGTATACCCGTGTTCACTAAACTGTACTGTACTGCAGGGTAGTCCTGTGTTTACTAAACTCTATTGTACTGCAGAGTAGATCTGTTTTTACTAAACTGTACTGTACTGCAGTGTAGACCTGTGTTCACAAAACTGTACTGTACTGCAGGTTATACCTGTGTTTACTAAACTGTACTGTACTGCAGGGTAGACCTGTGTTTACTATTTCCTCTTCTCTTCTCCTGTCTAACATATCTATGGTTTCAGCAGCACAGGGAAAGGTATAAAATAATGAGCATTGAATTTCGCATTATTAAGATAATCAATTTATTATAGTAATAAAACTAATGAAATAATAAAATTAATCAAAACTAATCATAAAATTTTTTGTTAATTGTTTCAATGGAATCTTGAAATTTTGAATTTTTTTCTGTAAAATCTTGATTATTTGCTAGTTGTTTCGTTTAAAATTTAGATTTTTTGTTATTTGTTTCTTTAAAATTTTGTTTATTTGTCACTTGTTTCTTAAGAACCTTGATTATGCGTTACTTGTTGCTTAAGAACCTTGATTTTTATTAATTTTTTGGTTGAAATCTCAATTTTGTATTACTTGTTTCGTTAAAATGTTTTATTATTTGTCCCTTTTTTCTTTGAAATTTGGATTATTGGTAAATTTATTTTTCTAAATCTTGATTGTAGTTTGATTGTTTTGTTTACATTGGCGTTAAGAGCTGAAAATGTTAAAATTCTTCTTGTTAAATTATTTAGATCATGAGTCTGGGATTTGGGTTGACGATGCCCAATATAGGATTGGATGTGACAGTGGAGGGCGTTGACATCGCTTCCGTCATTGACCTAGATCTCAAGGATCTGACGGAGCTCAAGCCACTGGTCAGAAATGTGACCTTTAAGGATGTTGGACATATAAATGTAAGTTAAATGAATCAGTGTCCGAATTTAATGAATTTGAGCACCGGCTTAAATCTGCCAATATCCGGTTTCAATTGAGCACCGGCTTACATCTTGAAATATTGAATGCAACTTTAAGTGGAACCAACCATATTTGAGTCGCGTCTTAAATTTAAGCCCCGGCTCAAATTTTTTAAACTCGGCCTCTGTTTACTTTATTTTTTCTGAAAAGAATATAGCACAAATATTAATATTGATAAACTAATACTGCTAAAAATCATACAGGAGGACTTAAACAGCTGTGGAATAAGAAGACGACAGACAATCAATCTTATTTGTAATATATATATTATTTAAAGCAAGTAACTGTAGTATCGAGAAAATCTACTTAAAACGTGAAATGGTCTAAAAGTCTAAAATCGTCTATCTCTTCCACAGTTTTGTGGACCTCATTGTAGTATATATGATAATTTTAATAGTCTTATCATAAAAGTATTTGTATATTGTACCATCGTTGAAGTATACTTTAAATGTGAACTAGGTCGATTTGTTGTGTTTCATTTTCATTGGACATTCAATAAAAACCTTGAGTTAACAGTCTTCCTATTCAACACTTTATGGTTCTAACTGTACATCTGTTTAACAGTCGTCTTCCTATTCAACACTTTATGGTTCTAACTGTACATCTGTTTAACAGTCGTCTTCCTATTTAACACTTTATGGTTCTAACTGTACATCTGTTTAACAGTCGTCTTTCTATTCAACACTTTATGGTTCTAACTGTACATCTGTTTAACTGTCGTCTTTCTATTCAACACTTTATGGTTCTAACTGTACATCTGTTAAACAGTCGTCTTTCTATTCAACACTTAATGGTTCTAACTGTACATAACAATTGTTTAATGCAATGCATCTAAAAAATTACAAAAGTTTGCATTTCAACATGAAATGCGTAAAATTTGCACAAAAATGAATTATGGCGTGAAACAAAAAAGACTAATTCAATCTATCCAGTTGAAACGCAATTGAGTATAGAGCCTGTGTGTGTTATTATTCAGAATAATACTCTAAGGATGAGATTCAAATTTAGTTATTGATTAAAAACTGAAATAACAGATTTTTCATGAATTTTTTTACGTAGAATCTTAAATCTTATTTCAGAATTCTCAAACCAAAATTCTTAAAGTATCTACCAGAGGCATACTCAAGGGGACTTTGGTGCCTCAGCCACCTCTTGGGTCAATGAAACCTATTGTTCCAGGGGTTTTGGGCCCCCACACGAGAAAGAAAGAAAAAATTAAGCCCCCCCCCTGAACAAGTTCCTGACTACGCCCCATAGGGTCTACACATTTTGCAAATGTGATTATTAAAATGTGACACACGTACATGTTGATTTATTTGTTAAATACCTCAGCACCAGGATAGATGTAAAGATAAATAGATATACAAGCATGACTGTCATCTTTTTTTTTTAAAGAACAAAAGATGCAATAAGTGCATTTATTTAAAAAAGTTTCAAATATCAACCAATAAAAAGCTTTTTTTTACTAATTCATCCTTAAATCTAAAACAATTTACTTCAGTACACATTGTAATCACATTAAAAATTGCAATTCATTTTTTCTTCCCCCTCTCCCCCTCCTTTACTTATCATGATAACAAATAATCAGAATTCCAAGTAAATCCCTCCTAATCTTTCTAACTTCCTTCTTACCTCTTGGAACATGATTTCATAATTCTTTATTATAAGATTATAAAGCTGAACAGTCATGGGCTTTTAACTTTAAAGGGAGTGTTTTCCTTTTTAAAGTGTACAGTTATTACTTAAAAAAAGAATTGAGTTTCTGCCATACATTTTGACTTTATATTTGCAACCTAATGTGAGTCGTAGATCTTTGAAATATCAAAATATGAAATCTGTTAGATCAAATATAATCTGAAATATCACAGCTTTACACCATCAGGTTGCAAAGATATAAGGATGAGATCTTTCAGCATTGTTTTAAATTTTTATGAATAATCCCATTTTGTAATGACTTTTCAAAATGTTGTAATTGTTATATTATGTTTTAAATATAATCATGGTTTAAATCCAACTTTTCAGGCAACAAATTAATCATTTCAGACAATTTTGGATTAAAATAAAAATAGGCAGAATTGTTTTGCGTCAACATCTGTATATGCGACTTTATAGATTATAAATGTATTGAAAGTGTTCAGACTAATTTTTACCTTCAGACAACAGAATTAATGAAGTACAAGTTGGAACCATGAAGACTTAGTTTAACCTCATTTCTTTTGTACGCCGGGTTTAGCTGAAGAGAAGTGGCTGAACTACGTATACGCGGTTCTTTGAATCGGTTCGTTAAACACAAATTTCAACGTCGTAAATACGTTTTTATCCTTCGCATGGATAACCCTGGTTGTTACCAAATACGTGTAAACCAGAACAGGTGCAGCCAAATTCATGCGACATTGCTGGAACAACTTTGTGACCCCGTAGCTCCTATAGTTTTGATTTTATGAGTAAATATGAGAAAAGTAACTTTGACAGCTTTATTTTTGGTTTCTGCATTTAAGTGAGTATTTTGATGGTTTACTATATTATTCAGCAAAGAAATACACCAGTTTTGCCTACAAGAAACCTTGAATGTAAGAAATTAATGTTTATTTGACGTGAAATGAAATGTTTGTTTTTGTAGGTTGGTATAACTGGATTGAGCAACGAGCTGGACACCCTCATCTCACCGATCACCACCTTGGTGGTGAACACTGTGAAGCGGGATATACAGGAGCTGATCACACCGGTTATACAGAACACGCTCCAGACAGTTATCAATGAAAATGCGCCAACTGATCTTTCACAGATTTTTGGATGAATATTTATTCTACAGTAACCATTCGTTTGATGGATTTAGATATTGACATAACTTTACTTATAAAAATATGTTTTCATTTAAACAGATAATTTTCGAAGAAACAAAACGATAAACTACAAGCATCTTTTTAAAGAAATCAATTTTTTCAGTTCATATGATTCACTTTTTTAAATAATTTTAAAAATAAATTTCTTGAATATTAAAAATGAAAGAAAAAGCTGAACCCAAAGACTCCACAAACCCCTCGTGGCCTCCCCATCCTTACAATCATTGTAACTTCTTTAGTATGAAACCTGGATAAAGAAACAAACATCTACGCCCCGAATATTCAGGGGCGTGACGCAGCATGAATTTTGTTTCTATTCATCTCGTGGTGCACGAATTTACAAAGCGTAGAACTGAGTAACTTCTGTTTACTTGAAAAAGCTTAAGAAAAAATGTCTAAATTAGTATTAATAAATGTTTCATTAGAATTAATTTACTTATATCAAATTTAATTATTTCATTCTTTTTAACATTTAACCTTAGAAAAGCAATAAAAAAAAATCTCTTGATCAGATGAAAGTTTCAAGAATACCGTTGTGGTTGCCATCTTTGCATTGGCGGTCACCTAAAATTTAATAAGTTAATTTTTTAAGTTAATTTAATTTTTCTTTATCTAGTCTTCAGACTAAATTTATATAATAATGCTCTTCGAGCTCATATACATTTGTTTGTATGTTAGCTATAGCTGGCCAAACGGCTGGACGAAGGGGGCTGACATTTTTTGAGAAAACCCATGCGTACCCGGGCAGTAACATTGGCTTAAAAAATTCGAAATTTTTCTTTTTCAAAAATTAAAATTTTTTTCTTTCAAGTCATTTAAGCATTCAAGAAACTCAATTTTCATTAAATTTCAGTTGATAAAACTTTTATAAGTTTATTGTCACAAATATTTATAATAAGCGATAAATTACAAATAAAAAATATAGATGTATATTATTTATATCTCTTCACCAATGATTAAAAACAAAACTGAAACTTAAGTTTAAAAATTGACTAAAAAGCTCGACAGCATTAAAAAAGGGTGTGAGGGGGGGGAAGCAAGCCGCACCCGTATAGCCTCCATCCTACAATTTACTCACAAACATAGACTTGCGGCAACGCGCTCACTCATAGCGCTTCCTTAGATTGAATTTCTCCTTACCTTCAAAATTTTTTTTTTGAGAAGATCAACATCAGCCGACATGTACAAAATATTACATTTTAGGATGAGATCGCAATAAATCACAGTTTTTTACAAAAATTAAACAACTATTGCCCCAGTGAGCAAGAATGTTTACTTATATTACCATATATAAAAATGATTAATATGCTTAGGGTATAATAGATGCCATGATGTCTTTAAAATGTTTAAATAACGCAGCAATCCTCTTTAAAAAGCATTCAAAAGGAAAAACATTTTTCAGAAGATATATGGGTGCGGCTAAGGAAGTGCTACGGGTGAGCGAGTTGCCGCAAGTCCATGTTTGTGATTAAATTGCGGTATGGATGCAATATGGGTGCGGCTTGCTATTCCCCCCTCATGGAGTAAAATTTTATTAGAATTCTATATAGAAAATATGGTTAAAAATATTGAAGGTTTTATGTATTTTCCGCTTTGCAATTTGGATGNCCAAGGGGATATAGGAACTGAGGTGGGTTGGATTTATTGGAAAGGGGATTGAAGAGGGGACTCTGAGAAAGGGAGAGGTGAACCAGAGGTTGGAGTGACAGGGGACTCTGAGCTGGAAGGTGTAAAGCTGGAACATGTTGAGGGGGGAGGAAGGGGGGAAATTGCTGGGGAGTGGAGTGGGGAGGTACCCTGGAACACGTCTGTCTCAGCAGTACTGCAGGAGATGCTGGGAATATTAAATGCTTGTGCTGAGAACCCAATATAGCTGGAGAGAGAGGGTGGTCGAGGTTCAGTGCTCCGGGTACCCTCGGAGACAGGGAGTAGGGGACATGGAAGAGACTCTGTCGGTGTTTCGTCCATTAAGCTTCGACCTTGTGGAACACCGGGAATTTTTTCACCAAACGGATCCAGGTCGAGATCAAAAGTTGACCTACTTGCGGAATTTCCAACATCAAGATCTGATTTCTGAAAAAAAAGTTAAATCTTTAAAAAATTGCTTTAAACGCATAAAATTACTTAATCAATGTTTTCCAAGACCCATTTGGCCAATCAAACGTCGTACAACGGTGCTCTATATCACTTAATTATCTCAAGGGACAATTAAGGGACATCCCATGACAGTAGAAAAAAAGAGGGAATCAACGTAAGGTAATTTCTGAAATGATGATTGTTAAATAAAATAACCTGTTGAACTACTCGAGGAAGAAGAGGAGGGGGAAGATCATGATGAGAAAAAGGAAGAGGAAGAAGAGGGGGAGGCAGAGCAAGTTCCTCTGATACCTCACTATCGACAGAAACCAAGGTTTTAGGATTCCTAGAAAATAAATATTCAAAAATATAATTTTAACAGGGATTCTGTGTACTTTTTTAATGAAAAAAAATATCAAAAAGTCCAAATTTGGTTGTATGTTGAGTTACCAAGAACAGACTTGATAGAATTCTGGGAAGAACTGATTCCTCATAATCCTACCTGATAAGATACTGGGTTTTAGCTAGAACCGACTCCTCCTACCTAACAATAAAAGATCCCTGCTTTCTTACTTTTAAAGTCTTTCCCACTTAAGCGGAATAAAGGAAAACCATGCACAGTTTTTGCAAAAAAGGGAAGTTGAAAGCCTTAAAGCCCCATTAGGTGGAATCTTCCACAGTAGTCCAGTCCTTACAGCCGGCGGAGTAAAAAACTGATATCATTGTGAATGGCTTGTATACCTATCAAGGGGTTATACTTCTGTGTTCCTTCTTTCAGCTGAGAAAAGCAGAAGATGAAGTTCTTGTTTGCTATTTAATTCCTATGTTTTGCTAGTCCCCTGTAGATTGAGTCATGAGCAACTCTACACAGCCTTTTTCCGAACTGTGAACCCGGGAGATATATGATTAAATAAACATATTTTAGAAACATAACACAACACAGAAAACTGAAAAAATGAAAATAACAATTTTTTTTCAGTTGCTAAGGTGTTGGTCTTAAGATGTAAGTGCTTGCATAAAAATCAAAAAAATTGCAACTAAATTTGCTAACAAATTGACTAATTTTCAAGCAATGTAATTTTTAATTAATTTATCTTTTATAATAGTATTTGGGATTTATAAAATGGTATAAAACATTGTGCATAGTTAAAAACTGACTTTTTGGCAAAAATGTTAAATCAGAAATTTTAAAAAAGTCCAAAAATGGCCAAATCACATTTATTTCTAGCAGCGCAAGAAATAATGGTCAAAAAAGAAAATATTTTGGACTTTTCTTAGTTTTCTATACATCAATTCTGAAGAAAAAGAGCACCGCTAAACAATTTTTACAGGGCCGCCCTACTACTCCTCATACTTGATAGAATACTATTATTATTTGTTGTGTACATGTCAGAAAATTATTTTAAACTCTAGTTATTCGAATTAGTGTATAAACTATTTTGCATATTATAAATTTGCACCCTGATCTCTAATCGTTCTCCTTAAATCTATTTAATTGAAATATTTTGTTATTATTACTAAAATTAGGTGGAAAAAATAATCAAAACAGCCAATAGCTATTTTCCACCTAATTGCTTTATACTTGTACTGTTAATATAATCATCAATTTTGTGATTGTAAACTCTATCTGTATACAGATACATTTATTTTAGCAATAAACTTTATCTTATCTTATCTTATCTAATACTGGGTTCTAGCTAGAAACTGTCTCCTCCTACCTGATAGAACACTGGGTTCTAGCTCCTCCTACTCATACATAACATAGTACTGGGTTCTAGCTAGAACTGACTCCTCCTACCTGATAGAATACTGGGTTCTAGCTAGAACTGATTCCTTCTTCCTTATAGAATACTGGGTTTCAGATAGAACTGATTCAGCCTACCTGATAGAATACTGGGTTCCAGCTAGAAACTGGCTCCTCCTACCTAATAGAACACTGGGTTCTAGCTCCTCCTACTCCTACAAAACATAGTACCGGGTTCTAGCTAAAACTGACTCCTCCTACCTGATAGAATACTGGGTTCTAGCTAGAACTGATTCCTCCTACCTGGCAGAACAGTGGGTTCCGGCTAGAACTGACTCCTCCTACCTGACAGAATACTGGATTCCAGCTAGAACTGATTCAGCCTACCTGATAGAATAATGGGTTCTAGCTAGAACAGACTCCTCCTATTGGACATAATTCTGGGTTCTAGTTAAAACTGATTCTTCTTATTCCTCCTACCTGATTGAATACTGGGTTCTAGCTAGAACTGACTCCACCTCCACCCTGAGACTGTGCTCCCACTCCTTCATCTCCTTCTGTAGAGTGTTTGCGTCTGCTAGGATATTCTCCTGGAGTTCGGTCAGCTCAGTTAGTGTCTGGAATAAAAGGGAATATAAACTCGCGCAAGTAAGATGCTTTGCTAACAGCCTGACCCTAATTGTGTGCAATATTATGCAGAATGAGTCAGCCTGATGGGTGAGGTTCTCGGGGCTTCAGTCTCGTCAAAATAAATAAATAAACATATATGTTTCCTGGACCACTTCGATTGAAGTTTACCCCTTTAACTGCAGAACAAGTATGATCAATTCCTTTAAATTAAAATCTATTATCAAATATACTGAGAAAGATATTTTGTCGTATTTTTTTTTTAAGCCATCTAACCAGATTAAAAAGAAATATCAAAATAAATAAACTGACCTTCAGGTTTTGCGTCATAGCTTGAATTCCTTCACACATAATCAAATTAGTCTGCCAGGAGCCGGGAGGAATAGATTCACCTAAATCAGTCAATCAATCAATCAATCAAATAATTCCCGACATGTACTGTTTGAACTCATGTATAATACACCTGATGTGTACTGTATGAACTCATGTAGCATACCTGACATGTACTGCTTGAACTCGTGTACAGGAAGATTCAAGCTTTCTGCTTCTAAGTTCTCAATAAATGATATGGCGCAACACTAAAAAAATAAGTTAAATACGACTCGTATTTTTCGGTCCGTTAAACAGTCCTTAGCAAACACGATAAAGATATTTCTGTTTTCCATGTGAAAATTGATATTTTCCAACTGTGGTTTCCATTTTTAACGTCAGTTGCAGCTTTCTGAAACAGCAAAAAAAGAAAGGCTTTGATTGGAATTTAACACTTTTCCACGTAGAAAAACGAGGATTTTTCCTAATTGTAGCTTAGAGTACCGTTGTAAATCGGACATACAACTGTTAAAATTGAATATCACTTGAAATTACGCCAACAGTCCCTTAAGGACGACATTAAAAAACATAAATTATTACCAGATTAGTAAAGTAGTATCCCTCCTCCCCTGACATGAGCCTGGACTCGTTGCTAAACCTCGTGATATAGTTGATGTTTGAGGTCACACGAGGCGGGTTAGCCTAGAAACAGATTCTGTAAGGAACTCAAACCGATTAAATTTAGTTTTCAATGAAACTCAATGTTTTTTTTACCAAAAACAGGATCAGGGTACTCGTATCAAGCTCTGATTCTGTTTCCAGAAACCTTTGCAGCCTGATAATCAGGTTGTAAAAGCATAAAAAACAGAGTTTGTGACTAGTTATTAGTTCCTTTAAAAAAAAGTTCCATGAAAAAATTCATAATTGATTTTACCTTGAGAAGAATATAGATGAGGGCAGGAAGAAAATCGTCGGCGCTGGCCGGACCCTTCCCGTCAGTTCCAAGGATTTCAAATATCGTCTTTGCACACGCAACAATACAACGAAGTTTATCTTGGGGAGCCTTCATGCCGTCAACCTTGATTTATTACCATTAATTAATCGTCAATTAAGCACACAACTTAAATCAATCAATCAATCAATCAAATCAATCAATCAATCAATCAATCAATCAATCAATCAATCAACCAACCAACTAAAAATCTTTACACAATACCCCCCAACTCATTGTTTATGTATACAATTCACCTCTAGTACATGATTTATAGCTGTAAATATAAGATCCCGTATTCCTGGATCTGTGTCCTCAAAAGGACACTCTAAATGAGCCCCTGTCACCCAGTTCAGAGATCTAAAATTATTTATTTATAGAAAAATATTGCAATTATTAGCTTGTGAATGTGATTTCAAAAACCTTCCATATGTAGAGTGTCATGTCCGATCAAGAGTAGATATCCAAGTTTATTCATCTGAAAACTGATCATTTTCAATTGTGGATTCTCCACAAAAGTTGCCTTGCGCAATTCTGCTTCAGGATTTATCAGAATTGAACGTTTTCATGCTAAAAAAACGACGATTTCTATGAATCGAGCACCTCACTTTTAAAATGGAATGTCACTTGAAATAACGCATACAGTCCCATTAAATAAATATTTTGTCACATTGCACATGTCAAAATTTAATTAGGCACAGAACACTCATCTATTATTTTCTTTTGAAGATTAATTTGTCTTAATATCAAGAAATATTACACTACCAATTGGTTTTAACCACTTTCAGGGTGGCCAAAACTTTTTTGAACCCATCCGTACAAAAATCCGTACATTTTCAGAAGAAATCCGTACAATCCGTACAATTTTCGAAAAACAATCCGTACAATTATCTAATATTATTTAGAATGCAGAAAATAAGTTAAACTAACTTCATTTTGACGAGGATTTTTTTTTTATTTTCATAAAAAATTTGCTGAAATTTGTGAAAATTTTAAAAAAACGGTGTATTTTCCAGGATAAAATCCGTACAATCCGTACAATTTGAAAACAAATCCGTACAATCCGTGCAATCCGTACGATTTTAGGGTTAAAAAAAATCAATCCGTACAATCCGTACATTTTGGCCACCCTGCACTTTCACTAGTCCATCAATCATTTACGCATAAAATGCATACATTTAGTTTAAAGAATAATATATATTTAATAGTTTTAAGGCAGTTAATCGCCAATCTTCCCTAAAATGCAGGGGTCCATATAATTCCTTTTACAATCCCATTTGGGATTGAAAATTTGAAAGAAATTGGGGGCAAATTTTTTAAATGGGGGAATTTTTTTTTTAGATAATTCAAAAAAAAAGTGGGGGCATTTTTACTTAGTTGGGGTCATTCTTTTTTTTAAATTGGGGGCAAATGTGTTAGTGGAATTTGAAAATGTTTTTTAATTGGGGGCATTTTTTTATAATTGGGGGCAAATGTGTTAGTGGAATTTAAAATTTCATTTTAATTGGGGGCAAATGGGGGCAAATGTGTTAGTGGAATTTGAAAATGTTTTTTTAATTTGAGGGCATTTTTTTCCCAATTGGGGGCAAATGTTTTTTAAATNGAGGATTTTTTTTAAAAGTTGGGGACAAAAAATTATTTTGGGATCGAGAAAATCAGCTATTTTTGGAATTATATGGACCCCTGCAAAAATGTTATCCTTTCGATAAAAAAAATTCAAAACATTTTGAAAAAAAAAATGATTGTTGACCTGATTTTTGATTGAATTTCTAGATCCTTCTCCTCGTCACCAGTAGAGGCAGGGGAAAAGAGAAGCTTGTACAGGCACACCATCACGTACCTAAACAGTACGGTACAGTACAGTACAGTACAGTACAGTACATTACAGTACAGTACAGTACAGTTTAGTACAGTACAGTACAGTACAGTACAGTACAGTACAGTACAGTACAGTGCAGTACAGTACAGAACAGTACAGTAAAGTAAAGTTCAGTTCAATACAGTACAGTACAGTTCAGTTTAGTACAGTACAGTTCTTTGAGTACGCTGTTCAGATGAAGATTTTATATCCGACGCTACTATAATTTTCCAATACACTTTTTTATTATACTTCTAAATCAAGTTTTTCTATGAGATGAAGGACAAGTTCAAAGTTAAGAAAATCCAGATCGTGTGGTTTTCCATAATAATAAAAACCCAAGAAAATGTAATTTTTTTCTTTCAAATAGGAAAATAGGAAACAAAAGAAAAACATGGTTGAATAAAAGAAATGTCACCTTTCTGTATAATCTGAAATCGTCTGTATTTCATCCTGAGATAGTCCCTGAAAGTTCTCATGGGTCTCCAACCTCTTCGTCAATGCCTGTGCGAAAAAAATCTTTGTAAAAAGCTTGCACTCGGCATAAATAAGCTTCAGGATTAGCGGGATACAATAAAAATAAGTTTGTGACCAGAAAACCAGCTTTTTATAAAGGAATTGTTATAATTAGTTTACTTAATTTTCAATAAATCAATAACGGTACATAACCAATACATAATTGTTTACTTCTATTGGCTCAAAGTAGAGCTCGTAACTTATGAATGAATAAAACCTTATGTAAATCAATTCCAGAACAAAAACTATTTCAGAAAAGTGTAAAAAATTGACCTGATAAAATGTTTGAAACATGGCGGCTACTTCCTCTATTGGATGAGTTTCCATTCTCTTATTTATCTAAATTGCAAAAATTAAATTTCACAAAATGTTTGACAGAAATGTTCTTTTACCATATTTCCCCACCCCGGGCCCGGCCCCGTCAAAAAAAATTGCTGAAAGAAAAATGTAAAACCTGAAATGAATAGGAAACATGGCACGGGTAAAAAAATGCTGAAAAATATTACAATCCTGGCAATTCGGTTTCTTCTTCTTCAGATTTTGGGATAAAATTTGTTTTTTTTTGGAGAATTCCTCAAGAAGTTTTAAAACCTTTGAACTTTAAGTTTAGGAGGGGCCGGGGTGGGGGCAGGTGAAAACTAACTCAACTTGAAGTTAAGGAGGGGCCGGGGTGGGGGCAGGTGAAAACTAACTCAACTTGCATGAAGTTTAGGAGTGGCCGGGGTGGGGGCAGGTGAAAACTAACTCAACTTGAAGTTTAGGAGGGGCCGGGGTGGGGGCAGGTGAAAACTAACTCAACTTGCATGAAGTTTAGGAGGGGCCGGGGTGGGGGCAGGTGAAAACTAACTCAACTTACTTGAAGTTAAGGAGGGGCCGGGGTAGGGGCAGGTGAAAACTAACTTCTGCCTCGAAAATAACATGAATAGGGAGGAAAAGAATAAAAAATAAAAAGAAACAAGTAATCCATTTTTAGTTACATCATTCAGAAAAATCCGATTTGTGTACGGTGAACCCCATATATCTGTGGAATAGGAATACAAAATTGAAGCAAACTTACGAGTTCTTGATACTGTTACAAACAGTTATACCAGGAGCTTTAAAATCAACTCGTTATGAAAAAATGTATGTGACTGTGTATACTAGAGTACACAGAACACAATTGCTGTGTTTTATGTGATCATTGTTTATTCGACTATTTAAAATCATAAGTTGAGCTCAACAGAAGTTGTCTTCCAACTCTACAGTTTCATGGGTTTTATGTAGTTTAATATCTAGTTCATGGGTTTTATGTAGTTTAATATCTAGTTCATGGGTTATATGTAGTTTAATATCTAGTTCATGGGTTAATGTAGTTTAATATCCAGTTCATGGTTTATATGTTTTTCAATACCTTGTCCACAAAATTCTGAATATTCCTGGATAGATCTGTCATTCCAGTTTTCCTTGTTCTAAATCATATAAAATAAACATTTTAATAATCTGAAGTTGTGAAAAAAATTCGAAAAATCAAAAATGAAAGTAAATAAACTTTAATCAATTAGTCAACACAAAAGATTAGAAAAGATGGGAAATAAGAAAATAAGATAAAAAGTTAAAAAAAACATTAAAAGAAAGAATTAAGTCCATTAAAGGGCTTAGTTATATTTATTTACCTAATGTTAAGGTATTCTCCAAATTCTTTACTGATTGCTCTTGCTTCAGGAGACATTGTCTCAACCCTGTCCTGCTTCTCATCTAAACATAATATTTCATACATAGGTAGAAACTTCAGGAGAAATTGTCTCAACCCTGTCTTACTTCTCATCTAAACATAATATATGAAAAAAGTCGTTACTTCAGAAGATGTCATCTAAACAAAATATATAAAAAAGAAGTCTTTACTTCAGGAGACATTGTCTAACCTCGGTCCTGCTTCTCATCTAAACATAATATATCAAACATAGGTCAGAACTTTTAGATGAGATAGAGCTAAACTAAAACTCCTGAACCAGCTGTAAATCAAGGAAACCTTTGAAATATTTAAAAGTTAATAAGTTCTTAATCCATTTAAAACAACAGAATCATATTTTCGCGATTACTCTTTGACCAAAAGCATGAAATTTGTGGCTTCTTATTAGTCAATGGCCATGAGCCTAGTAAGATATTAAAAAAAACTAACTTAATCCATTAGACGACAACATACGATACAAATTAGTTCTTTCTCAAAGGATTTACTTTTTAACACAAAACACTTAAGGTAAATCATTCTAGTCTAGATTTACTGTTCTTATTCAACGAAATTCCTTAAAGTGAATTACGGAGCGATTCAAAATTTTTCTACCAAACCAGACTGGTCCAAAAAACCCTAATTTTTAATTAATATAAAAATATCGGATTATCATTCTGGCAACCCTAAATTGCTTGCTGTTATTTGATTAATACGCAACTAACTGTAACAAGCCCTTTACCTTAATTAAACAAGCCAAATAATAAAACCAAATCATTTTACTCAAGGAGATATTGAATAGAAGGAGGGGGCGATAGGGCTTCCGTACACTTTGCTGTGACGTTTTTGGACTGCTAAAGAACTAGTTTTTGCATAACAACAATAATAAAGGCGGCCGATTTAATGTAAACAAACATGAGTTAGTAAACTGTGAAAGTAGTATTATCTTGTTAAAAAAGATTGAAAAAGTTAAGGATTTTAGTTTTATACGAAAAGGACCTTGATACAGCGACATTTTCAATCATTCATGGTTATATCCGCCCCCCGTGACCCCTCATCAAATACGCCAGAGATGCCAGATGTCTGTTTATCATTTGTGTTATTGTTTACAATCTTTATTATTGTTGTTACGCAAAAACTAGTTCTTCAGCAGACCAAACACGTCACAGCAAAGTGTTCGGAAACCCTGTCGCCCCCTCCTTCTATTCAATATCTCCTTGAGATTACTTATTACATAATTTAAACTTATCCTATTCAGTATTCACCCCTTAAACCATAGCTTGAAAAAATATGAACGTTGAACATTAAAAGCACTGTAGACGTAATTTCAAATGACTCCCCATCAAAGATGTGGCATTTCTGATTCAAATCGTTATCAAATTGTCTGATCAAGGATACATGAGATATCTTCATTTTTCTTATTAAAAAATTATCCTTTTCAATTAATGTTTCTATAAGCATAATGCAAGTGACGTCCAAAGAAATTGATGTTTCAAGAGGAACTAAGATAGTTTTGAATGGTACCTTTGTGAATCGATATACCACTTTTAATTAGAGGAATGTCACTTGAAATTACGGCTTTCAGTCACTTTAACAATGAACACTGTATACATATTATATGTAAATTTTGATAGTTAATAACAGCGTTTCGGATCCGGATCCGGTCGGATCCGGATCCGTATCAGGAAACGTTGATATGGATCCGGGTAGCGCCAAAAATTAACCAAAACCATGGAATAAATAAATCAAAATGGTTCGTAAATGTATTATTTACATGACGAAAATTTTTCAAAATTATCTTTAATAATTTAATGTTTACATTTATATAATAGTTATGACGACATTTTTAACTTTAGGATTACTCAGCGGCAAATGCTCACATGGCGCAAATTTCAAATATATAAAGTATTCACAGAATCAAAAGTTACCTCGGATCCGGATCCGGATCCGTATCAGTCAGGATCCGGATCCATCATCACGGATGCGGATCCGGATCCGCATCAAAATGATACGGATCCGAAACACTGGTTAATAAAATTACTTATAAGTTTAAGAGCTGGTTTTTCACTATCCAAGTTCTCATTAAAATCTTGAATATTCTCCCCTTTCATCAACCTGACCATAATCCTTTAAGCATTCCTGTAAAAGCGAAAGGGAGAAATTTTTTTTGCTAATTTCTAACAAATTTAATCAAGGATTTGTTCAATTATTTGAAAACTAATTAGATCCGTACAGAAAAAAATGCTAACTTAGTCTGGGCATTCAATTTTTGTTCCAATATATATAATTTCAACCGAAAAAAAACAGTATTTTCTAAAAATCGAAATTTTCTCCAGAATGCTTTTTAAGTTCCTGTAAAACCAAATGACGTCATCAAATACTTCTTCTAATCGTAAAATGCGTATTTGTTACTTAGCAATTAAAACAGCTGGTGTAATAGTTATTTGTTTTCATTCTTTATTAATTATTCAGCAGACAGGGAGTGTAAGAATGATAACAAAAGATGTGTACAATTTAAGGGGTACAATATAAGATAATTTTTCCCCACTGTGCTAAAATATGATTGCGCGAAGCGGCAAATTATTTTCAATAGTTTGTATTACGAAAAGGGGATTCATAGATTTTCAAAAAAATCTCAAAACAAGCAAGTACAACTATTCACCCCCCCCCTCTCCGCCACAATTCTTCCAATTTTTTTTTTAACCCCTGTTAAATAATTTTTTGAAATGTATTTGCATTATTTCCTAGATCGTAATCAAGATATTCAATATTTGCTAGAAAGGATTCAGTTACAACATCACTAAATCAGCAAAATTTTTAAAACTGAAATTAATTTCGAAGAAAAAAATTCAAAGACCATGAAAATTTAATTTCTTAATTGAAGATTGATTGTGAATTGTTTATTTTATCTAACTCTCAAAATAAACTTTAATCGCCAGCAATAATTTTTATCTTTTTTTGTTTGCTGCCTAATTTCGAAAATTTGCTGGCAATAAGATTTTCTTCTCTCACAACTTTTTGTCATTTTATTTTCTAAAAAACAGTTCACTAAATGTAATTTGTTACTTTTTACAAAAAGTTATTGACATATCTAGACTCGAGATTAAAATTTTGCAAGATATTCAGACTATGAAACAAGACACTATACACAGAGCAGAAATTCAGGCCCGTAGCTAGGAATTTCTAGGGGGGGCACAACACTTCACAAGACAGGATAGAAATAAAAATTCCCAAATAATTATTTCAGGAAGCACTCAATTTTTCTTTAATTTGAAGAAAAAAAGATCCTTTCCACATAATGTTGGTAACAAAAAATTTAATTTTAGGCCAATTTTTTCCTTACTTCTTTTCATTTTTTTTCATTTTCTTCATTTTTGTCTTAGAAAGTGTGTCCCCTGTGCCCCCAATCTTCGGGGGTGAAAGGGGGGCACGTGCCACCCCCCCCCTAACTACGGGCCTGGCATATATCTTACTAGAATATCTTCAAGATTTCAACGCCAAATATAAACAGAATGATGAATTTTCGTAATGCAGTTTTTTGTATTAGCTTTAAATAATTGTTTTTTTTTTTCAAATAAGATAAGCAAAAATCCAAAATGATGTGATACACGAGTGTAAAAAACAGAAGAAAAAAGGAAAAAAAAGATGGATGGCTGTCAAAACAATAAAAACTTTGACTGTTAAAAATTGAGCACTGTTTGTATCCCGCTAGTTCTGATGCAACTATCACCTGAACCCTTAAACATAATAAAACATCTGTGTAATGTCTAGTGCGTAAATGTTGTTTTTGTTCCCCAAAGCAGTTGGTTAGGAAATCTAAAGGCAGGGGCGGATACAGGGTAAAGCGATGGAGCGGCCGCTCACCCCTGGAAAATTGCTCAACCCTGAGGGTGAAGCTACTGAAAATAGCAAGAAAATTCTGAAATTTCAAAATCTAAATAGTTCAATATATTTTGTTAAAAATAAAAGACTAAAGATTATTTAAATGTTTTATGTTTAGCTTGAATTTCGTGCTTAATTCAGTATTGTGCGCTATGGCTTTAAACAATGAGATATAATATGATTTTAAGTCTACAGAGGCCGAATTTGAAGAATTTAAGCCACGGGTTAAATTAGAGACGCGGCTCAAATATGGTTGGTTCCACTTAAAATTATATTAAATGTTTCAAGATTTAAGCCGGCGCTCAATTGAAACTGGTTTTTAGCGGATTTAATTAAATTTAATTCATTAAATTTCGGAAGAAGGTGTCACAAAAAAACTGTTAAATTTTGAACAAGTTAAGATTTTCTCTTCCCAATGGGTGAGCAAGAAATTTTTAGGTGTGAGCAGGAAAAATTTTTTCGCACTCTACGCGCAATCAAACTTTCGCTCATCCCTAATAAATTCTTGTATCCGTCCATGCTTTAAGGGACTGAAAGCGTAAGTTCAAGTGACCCTCTATGCAAAGATAGCAATGCCCAATTCTTAACAATACCCGCTTTGATAAAGTTACTATTACAGGAAAACCTTATTATGAATTATCAGAATAAAAGACCTAGAAAAACGACAATATCTTCCATATTATTCATCAGATAAAGTTTTCAAGAGTACCGTTGAGAATAGAGCAATGTCATCTTTGCATGGAGGGTCACTTGAAATTACAAATAAATATGATAAGAAATATGGAGAAAAAAATTTCTGTATCCGACTTGTTTCTTTCCCACCAGGCTAATTTTTTCTGAACACAATTTTACCTGTTATTCAAAACAAAGAAAATTTCGAGTGTGTCACAAATGTTTTGATGAGAAATTAAGTACTACATTTGCATATCGTTAACAACAACGTATGTTAAATAAATGCAATCTAATCAGTGTTTATTAGATAAATACATTCTAATTAGGTATACTTCCTAGGACTTTATATTGTAAAAAAAGGTTGTAAAACCTTGCAAAAACAATAATCCATCAGTCAGCTGTAGAAATACAAAACTGCTTTGTTTTCTTTTTTCCATAAGTTAATGACCTTTCTTTGTGTTAATTTGGACAAACCTTTCTTTGCAGTCTTAAAACCCAGCCAAAAACAACACCCCAAAAAATTAATAAAACCTACATTAAAAGTTCTTTTGTTCGCTCAATTAAAACGGGTTTTGGCGGATTTGAGACGCGGCTTAAATTCATTGAATTCGGACACTTTTCTTTATTGAAATGATAACCTTTCCTAGTGTTCAACTGGACAAGCTTTTACTTCCTTTCTTATATAAGTTTAATATGAGTTAATTAGCTTTCTTAAACATTATTTGATAGCCTTTCTTTCAGTATATTTTGACATATGGAAATTGCCTTTCTCTATGCTTTTCTTTTAATAATCTATACTTTAATTACTGGCTTTTATTTGCTTTAATAAAGTAATTATGACCTTCCTGTGGCTTTAGCCTTCTCGATGATATTCTTGACATTTTCTTGTTTTAATCTTGACATCTGGTAAAAAGCATTGCTTTCTGCTAATTGTTTTTCCTTATGTAAGTTACTGCCATTACTAACCATAATCTTTAACAGTTTTTAATTTCCTTTTTTGTGCTTAACTGATGTCTCTGAGGCCGAATTTAAAGAATTTGAACCGCAGTCTAAACTTAATCCGCGGCTCAAATATGGTTGGTTCCACTTAAAATTGTATTCGAATTTTCAAGATTTAAGCCGGCGCTCAATTGAAACCGGTTTTCGGGGATTTGAGACGCGACTTAAATTCATTAAATTCGGACACTGACCATTCATGCAGGAGGATAATCACGACATTAGTTACTGACCTATCCATAGTTAAAGAGACTGTTTATTTAATTTTGAGTGAAACTTCATTTAAAATTAAGAATAAAACCGGTATTCAATTATGCCGTCATCATTCATCCACTCTCAATTAAGAAATTGACATCTTTTTTCACGTAAAGAAACAAATTCTGTAAATTTTCTCTTTTCTCTTTTGTGATAAATTTTCAGAAAGAAAAATAAGAATCATGAAACAAAGTCAACATTCCCTTTAAGTTAAGCACGACATGATTTTCTGACCTTTCTTTGTATTTTTCTTGAATATTTGTCTGATATTAGAAGATCCTCTGTCTAGGGTTTGTGAGTGTAGACGCTTAGTCTGATTCACCTGAACAACAAACCTATAAATTGTCATGATCAGTAAAAATTCAGGCAATAACATAATGTTTGAACAAAGCTTGGGAATTAAAAAAAGAATAATCTTGAAGATTTTTTTTTATAAAAACACTAAGATTAGGAACTTAAGAAGATCAAATAAAATATTAATATTAAAATTTTGTTGTCATGTCCAATCAAGTGTATATTCATTTCAAACAAATCATTTCTCAAAATCTACTCAGATTTGATAATTGTTGAGAAAAGATTAAAAAGCTGTCTCATATTAAATAACTTATGTAAAACCCATAACAAATGAGAAGTTATTAAAATTGAGATTTCATCAACTGTGTAATAAAGAAAAAACATCTGTACAAGATTTTTTTTTTGCCTTGTTTTTGCCTTATTTAGAGTTTATTCAACTATAGTAGTTAAGAAGCAAAAAGTGGATTTAACGTTCTGGACAATAACGTTTTTGTGCCTATCAATCTACTATCGTTAATCATCCAGCGAAATTTAAAAAAAAGCACACATGGAACAGATGTAAAACGGCAATTGGCATAAAATATGCTTCCGGTGTTTTATGAAGTTAAAAGTTTATTCAACCCATGGAGGAGGAAGACGTGGAGTACAGGGTTGCCCAAAAAGTATGAGACTACAAAGACGACATGACACGCTAAAATTATGACGTTCCCAAGGTTAAATTTAGTCTTTTGTCTTGAATAAAATCTATTAAAGGGACTGTAAAGGAAAAATGAAAGGGGGTATAGGCTGAAAGCTAATCACTTTAGCTCTCGATCACGACCCATGAAAGTTATATCTGATGTTCCTATCTCGAGATATTGATATACAACTTTGTCAAAATTACATGAAAATTAATAAATATACAATTTTGTATAAAAGTAGTGGGTTTAAATAGATAAAATTCAGCAAATATGCAACCAATCTGAAAACAATGATATCCCAGAGAAAGCCAATTGTAACTTAGGTTTACTCCAATTCTAATTTAATAATTGTTATTTCTATTTTTAATAGATTTAATGCATAATATTATTTATACGTCTGTATTACTTGACCAGAAATTCAACCAATGACAGTGCAGTAAAGTAGTCACGTGATACAGGCGGAGACACGTGACCAGTATACTGCTCTGCCATTAGTGATAGTTCTGGTCACGTGATTTAAGTTTAAGATTTTCTAAATTTTACATATATGAACTTTCGTATAATTTTAACACCGTTTTATATCAATTTCTCGAGACAGGAACATCAGATCAAACTTTCATGGGTCGCGATCAAGAGCTAAAGTGATAAGCTTTCAGCCTTATACCCCCTTTCATTTTTCCTTTACAGTCCCTTTAATGTCTTAATTTATAATTTGAAAAAGAAAGAAATAAGTTTACAGTTGATGGGAATCATCAATAAAAGGAAACAGACATTATTTATTTCGTATATGTAGTCGTCTCTAAAGTCTCCTTCTTAGTGGGTAGCCCATAACCTTTAACCATATTTTAAAAAGATCAACTTTTTTTGAGCGTGTTCACCCACCTTAAACCTGGTATTAAAAAGAAATTGTAATTAAGATTTAGGTCTAATTATAAGCATTTGAGAATTTATAAAATAGACAAATTGTCAATTGGACAGAAAACTATAGAAGATACTTTCAGATCTTTACTCGACTAGCTCGTATCACGGTGAACTAGGGTCAACTTGAATTCGAACCGAACCGACCCTTCTACTGACCCAACCCTACCCTTTGTCGGCTCCGTTTCAACATTGATGGCGCGGCCCGGCTTTTTACAGTACCCGGCATAACAAAGACCTATTTAACTTACCCCACTAGCTCAGTCTTTTGTGTTATATATGTAAGCTTAATAGATTAGGCCATGGGGGCAGTCTATGGGTACACAGGGTTCCAGCCACCCCCCCCCCCCCTCCTCGATTGAACAAACCTTATTAGTGATCCCAGCAGCCACATGTTGCGGAGATGGTAGTTTCAACTTCCGGTCATTTCCGGGAGATCTGCCGAGCATAGAGTAGAACGGGGAACCACGCTCCTGGACAAAATATATTGATAAAAAAATGATATTTTTTTTCTAAATATTGTTTCTCGATGTCAAATAATAAAAACGTAGAACTAAATTGGAAACCTTCAGCGAGATAGCTTTATTGATAACGCACAAATATGGACGCACAAAAGTGTGACATACGTACAATGTAAATAAATTTTATCTTTCTTTATAAAGTATAGCAATATCTATTTGTCTGTCTGTTTGTTTGTGTATCCCATTGGCAAATTTGACTCAAATTATGAATAAATTACTAGATAGAACCACGGGAATGTTCTCAGCTTGGGTTAAAAATGTTCAGGTCTCCAAGAAAAGCTGGGTTCCCAAGTTGGTTTTATACACAATATCTTCCTAAATGTTCACCTTATTAAGACTAGCCGGTAGGGACTGACTAGCAGCACTGGGCCCAGGTGTATAATTGTGACTACTCTCACCACTCGTCGATCCAGTAGGATGATTCGGGTCCACGGCTGGACTCTGTCCGCCGAATGTATCGAAGGAGTAGGTTTGGACGTTGGAGTTCTGTTTTCTCCAGCATTGAGAACAGAACCAATTCCATTCAGGATTACCGTAGAAACCACATCCAGCTCTAATCAATAAATCAAATTCAAAACTTAATTATCTTTTGGCTCAGAAATACAATTTTTCATTGCTTCCTATAAAATTCTATATAAGTTAAATATTTTTTTACTTAATTAGTGTACTTCACAACAGACCTTTATAAATATATTTGGCTTGTCTGTTTGAATCCAATAAACGACAAAGACGACTTGAAATATCTAGCGCACATATTTTGTGGTAGATCACCCCAGGGGAACTTTTTGGCCGAATTAAAGTACCTTGCCGTATAATACTTTCCAGTTTCTTAAATTTGATAATGCACAAAAAATAAAATCAGCAAAACTACTATTATTAAGGTTTAAACACGTGTGCGAAAAGCATACAGAGAAAAAAGAAACAAAAGGTCAATATTATGACCAGAAAAAACTGAGAGTTGTGAAAAAACAAACATAAATCTTTTTTAGAAATTGGAAAGTAAATACACTTTTAACTTTCTTTCACGAGGAGGTTAATACCAATGAATTCAGATTGGTACTAGAAGTTATTATGACAAAAAGTTGTTATGTTGGATTGAATTTTTTTCCTGCAGAGAAGGTCGGATTGTCCAACCTTGAGCTTGTGAGGCTCAGACATTTTATCTGAAATCAATTTTTTCGTTGCTGTTATAATTTTACAAAAATTCTTCAGAATATCACAGTTATTTCATTTAATGCCGACAATAATAAATACAAGAGTCCGCAGCATAAAGGTGAAAAGGGAAACGAAATGAATTGAATGTCTAAATGTATAGGATAAGAAAAACACCATCTATAATCAAGAAGGGGTTCCTTTACAGCATTCTTACAACATTATAATTGAAATTATTGACACAAAATTCCTGGCTCAATTCCTCATCGCTTCTTAGTATTACATATCTAAAAGCTGGAGAACTTGTTTATCTACTGGTATCGTATGCTCAGTCAGATACTTGTTTGCATTGTCTTCCACCTCTGGTAGATAATATCTAAAAGTAAAATTCTTTCATTTATGTAAACCAAAGACTACAACGTAAATAAACTACAATAATTCAATGAGGCAATTCCTAAGAAATGAAATATTGAAACAGATAATTTGAGATTCTATCTTAGCGCGCATTTTTTGTAAAATCCATTGGTTTAAAAGTTTTGAATGGCGCATTTCTTGAAAATTCAATATGAAGCATTTTTAATATTCCATACCTGTAGTTCACCATGATGCCACAAGATTGAGATATGCCCCGAGGTGATGGATCTGCCAACCAGTTTATCCTTTTATATTAAATTGCTTAACTTTCAATATCCAAGTGTATGGTTAAGATTTACAATCAAATTTGAATTATTTAACACCTGTATAATGTAGCACCGTTTCTTATATGAAAGTTTGCTACTGGGTTTAAAGCTTTATTCCTTCGCTTTTCCAGATACAAGTACCTAACATATTAAAATCTTCATTTTAAATAAAATCATGTTTTTCTTTCTAAATTTTTAAAAATCATCAAATGGCGAGTGTGCTATTTAAGATTTTTTTAATATTTTTATTGCAAAATAAATTTGTAGAATTTTCGGGCGAGATTAAACTAAGTGAAAAACTACCAAAACATTTAGAAAATTTCAATTACTGCATTATCATATTTTATTTCTAATTATATAGACTGTAGAGTGTCCCACAAAACATGATAATTGATCAAAGACGACTTGAGAGTCGTCTTTGATCTGGAAAAACAAATTTCGGCCTTAATTCGTCAATTTTTTGTAAAAGAAAAATTCTTAAATCTAATACAGCAAAATGGCATTTTTCAAAATGCCTTTTGATTTAATTAATTAAAATCTGAGCGAAAATAACACATTTTGTAAATGCCAGGACTAGGGATTAACTTTGTAATTATAATTCATTAATGTAAGAGTAGATTGACAAATGGATGCCGCAAATTATTTCAAAGATCAACGACGACCTTCTGAAGTAGTCTTTCAACTGTCATGTTTCGTGGAACACCCTGTATCTTCGGTTCAATTCAACAGAAGTTTTTATAAACCTTTTATTCTACCTTGCACAGAGTTTTAAAAGAACCTTGTTGAGTCCATTTTCTAGTTTCTTATCTCCAACCCAAGATCCTGATTTTACAAGCTCAGACAAAGTATCTTCGGCAGGTTTAGTTGCGTCAATGTTCTCTAAAATCTAGAAGAGAAATTTTTTACTGAGAGTTTGATTTTATTCAAATTAACTATAAAGTTTATATATCCTAATTTTTGAAATACTGTTTGTAGAGTTTTTTTTTAAAGATTTATAATCAAAAAAGGCATAAACTTTAATCAGTAACCTCTTTATCTTGAATGGTGAGGGGTGTGGTGGTGTCTCCCCTCCTGTACCTCATCAGCTCCAAGAGTAACCAGGACTTGAACCCTGGGATAGGGGACAAGGTGGAGAACCTACTCAAACCTGGCAGTTCACGTCGTAGCTCAGAAACAGCCTGAATGAGTTGTATCAATTTATAGTTTTTTTATACTAAATACAGGTGAATTTTCATTAAATTGATGTAAGAACTTAACAGTGAACAGTGAACACTCGAAACAAATTTCAATTTTCTAATTCCCATTACTTTGCATCCTGATGTCGTATACTTTTAATATTTCAAAGTCTAAACTCTTTCAGACCTTAACAAAGGTTTTCATCAACAACTTATCAAGTTGCAAAGATAAAGGAATTCGATCCCCCCAATGCTAGAAATTGCAATTTCAGCAATCTGTAAATTTTAAAGGTTATACTTTTGAATTTGTATATATAGCTATTTAGAAATATAGTCACAGTGTACAATGTACAGAGTACAATTTACAGTGTTAAATGTAGTGTGTACAATGTAGATTGAAGAGTGTACAATGTAGAGTTTACAATGTACGTACAGTGTACAATGTAAAGTGCACAATGTACAGTGTGCAATGGAAATGTCTAAATATTACCAATAGATGTCAACCCATTCTGTTACCTGTTTCATATAAGATAGTTGTTCGAAATATTACCAATAGATGTTAACTCCATCTGTTACCTGTTTAATATAAGATGGTTGTTCGAAATATTACCAATAGATGTTAACTCCATCTGTTACCTGTTTAATAAGATGGTTTCCGAGTTCTATCCCTTGCAGACCAAGCTGGGTGGAGGTTATGGAGTAAAAAATAGCTGTATCAACTTCATCTAAGAAAAGTATTAGAAAATAAATATTAAAAACATGATTTGAAGTTTTATTGAATCGACATTATGTTTCATACTAGGCAATGGCATTCTTCAGGATAAGAAACTTATTATTAATTCCTGTTTTTTTTCTAATTTGAATCTAAAATAAAATGATAAATTTTAAAATGACATTTTTAAAAGATTTAAAGTATTTTAGGGAAAATTTGTGAGAAACCATAGATTTTACTGACCCAGAGGGTGGAGGGCAAACCTTCCACCTTGATTACCTATATTTTGTTCAGACTGATGGAAAGAACTTGGTTCTATTTCCCGGTTGAATCCCTTAACAGATCTGAACTCTTTTAAAACAGAACTCATGCAACCAGATATCTAAATTAAAAGGACTAATAGCGTAATTTCAAGTGGTCCTTCATACCAAAAATACTAAGCCCGATTCAAAGCGGTAGTGCCCTTAACAGATCTGTCTGATTAAGTTTGAATATCAATGTTTGTTGCTCATAATTTGGTAAACTGATTATTTTCAATTATTTCTCAAAACAATGATCTTGTAAATAACATATAGAAATTATCAGAATGAAAGACTCCTCACCCAGAAAAACGACAATATCTTCCATATTATTGATAGATAAAGTTTTCAAGGGAACCGTTGTGAATAGGGAAATGTCATCTTTGCATTGAAGGTCACTTGAAATTCAGATACAGTCCCTTTAATAGATAAATACATAAATCATAAGAAACATAGAAAAACGACAATATCTTCCAATTTTCTAGGGTACCATTGTGAATCTGGCATTAGGGTGAAAGGTACCAAAACTTGGAAAATTATGATCCCCCCTTAGCCAATCCAACCCTCCCCAACCCAATTCTAATAAATGAATTTTTCGTAAGAAGTATTGCCTAACAAGTAAAACCCCTTTAAAATCTAAAGTACCAAATTCTCAATTTGGTGTTCCCAAGAAACTAAAAAATGTCATGAAAATGACAGGGGGTCATAAAACTAAATTATGGCTTGTTTTCAAGAATAAGGATACGTTGTCTTTATTCCAATTTTTTTTTCATAAATAACTGGGCTAACTATGTTACTATGTAAAAAAATAAGCCTGAACATTTTAAAAGATATATTATTTATTTTATTTTATAAAATACTAGCTGAAGTACCCGGCGTTGCCCGTGGTAAAAAATTTTGAATTTGAAAAAAAATTAATTTAAGAAAATATTATATTGAATTTTTTTTAGCCTATGTTACCCCCAGGGTAACCATGGGTTCCCTAAAAAATGTCAGCCAATTCAGTCCAGCCGTTTGGCTAGCTAAAGCGGACATACAAACAAATATATATGAGTGAAGAGCTTTATAAGAACTATAAGAAAAGAAATCTGAAAGAGGTCCCGTTATGAACCCCCCAGACCGCCGGCAGGAATGGGAAGCACCGTCCCACTCCTACTCTAACTGGACCTTTATACCTACAACAATTAGCCCATTGTCAGAAGATACAAAGGAGATACATTCCAGCCAGTGGCTCATCAATTAACTCCATTGGATGGTTGGT